AAAAAAAAAAAAAAAAAAAAGTCTCATCGACTAAGTCCCTACTACCGAACATTCTCTGGCCAGGACTTGGGCTTTACATGCATTACCTTTGTTAATCCGCCTTATTTCACACTTACTAGATGAAGACACGGAGAAATAGGAGGTCTGGAGAGGGGAGTGCCTAGCCCACAGCCACCAGCTTGCTCCTTACCTCTCCTGCTTTCTCCTGCTACTGCATTTCAGAGAGACTTGACCAGCATCTTTAGTCTCCTAAATACACCCCACAGTGCTGGGGCAACTGAGGTCTGATGCAGACTGAATAAACATTAATTTTTAATGACCTACGGTATCAACAAAAATAGACATCAGGCATCTACTGTATATAAGACTGAGAGGTTTTTGTTTTTGGTTTTTTAACAGCACAATTTATTAAGCTCTTACTCAAGCTCGTAGCTCAAGGTGGTAAGCACTTAACATTTCTTATAACATGTAATGCTCACAACCACCGGCCAGGTAGGTATTCATCTCCATTCTGTAAATGAAGAGTGGGGCCTAGCAACAGGAGGGTTGCTGTATTAAGTGGCAGAACTTGGATTTGAATAAATGTGACTCTAGAATCGAAGTATTGAGTTATTGCCATTGTTCCCACCTTGTGACACTGTACGGTCCCAACTGTCACCTGCCTGTGATTAACACAGAGCCTCAAGACTTAGGAGCACGCTAAGTGTGGTATGTGATCTGCCAAGTAACCCTGTGAAGTAAGCAAGGCAGATCATAGGAATTCTATAAACGAGGAAACGGAGGCACGTGTGCAGAGAATCAGACATGGTTGGCATATCCTGAATGTCCTAACCACCAGAAGGCCACTAGTAAAGACAGGAAAAGGCAGGGGAAAATACACACACACACACACACACACACACACACACACACACAAGAGCTCTTAAAGTAGACCTAATTGGAAAACTGCTATTTGTCATTTAACAGACACATTTTTATTCTCCGTTATTACCCTTACCAGGGTTTTACGACTGGATAATAAATACAGGCTTCTATTCATCACATTCACAGCTGCTATTTCCTCTCAGATGAGAAAGACAGTGATCATCTTCATGAATAATTTCATTGAGCAAACCTGCTGTCAGACGTGGCTAAAGACAGATCGCTATGACAGCCATTTCTGGGGGCCGATCTACACACCTGATCTTTCTTCTCTGGCACAGAGAAAACAGTCAGTCCTGTCTCTTATGTGGTGAGTCACCTGTATTAGTACTTTTCATGTTTGCCACATACATTTATAAAGAACTGAAGTGACACTAAGAGAGATTAAGTGACATAGCCAAGGTCACAGAGCTACGAGGCAGATCTGGGCCAAGAATCAAGGTCTTCTACTAACTAAGCTGATGTCCCATCCAAGAGGGTCTTGGTCCAGGACCTCCAGTAGTGTGAGGTAGTAGAATCTTTCTGCATGTAGATCAAGGCATAACAGATAAGCCAGGGGCTAGGAGGGAGCAGAATAAACTGAAAAATTCCCCAGAACATTGGTTCTAGAAGGACCCTTAATAATTACCCAGTCCACACATCATACAGATGGACAAACTAAGAACCACTCAAAGAAAACAAGTTGGCAAAAAAACCCAGATTCATACCAATTTCTTCATTCAACTAAGTGTGAGAGCAATTTGCACCATTACTATAAAGATGACAAAGCAATTGATCCACAGGATTTTTTTTTTTTCAGGTCCAGGTCTTGCATGAAAACTGTAAGGTTTAGCCTTTGTCCTTGAGTTTACAATCCATCTAGAAATACAGGCATGTGCACAGAAAATGACACAAAGCATCTGCACAGGTAACCCTTGTATAAAGAATTTAGAGGCAGAGAACAGCAGATCTGGCTATCATGGAAGGATTCCTAAGGGAAGGATAAGAAAAGCTGGACTTGGAAACATGAATAGGAGGCCAACATATAGAAAGGGGAGGTATGTCAGCTCAGAGGAGTTTCAGCTTTTAGAGGGGTTTGTGGATGGTGAGGCCAGAACTGGGTCTTGGAGGCTGGAGAGACTTGGAATGCCAGCTCAGAGCTCTTAGACACGGACCTATGGAACAATGAGTCTTCAGATTCTTTGAGCACAGAACATCTGGAAGCCTCTGGACTCCTCAGAATTCCACAAAAGACTAATCATAGTTCATTCCAGGAAAATGTTAGTGTCAGGAAACACACCTGCTGTTCTACATCTGTGGTGTAAAACCTCAACCACGGTACGCATGCCTTTGAACAAAGTAAGTCCTCAAGGCAAAAGGGATCAGTGTTCTTTGGATATTTCCACTAATAGCTATCTGCCCCTGTCTCTTCTGTCTCCTGTCCTCTGACTCTGTCTGCTGTCGCCTGTGTGCTAGCAGACAAGCACAGGTGCCACTGCTTTTCATAAAATATGGGGGAGAAAAATTTTAAATGAAGAGAAGCCTGAGAATGTGCTTATTTTCTCCAGATTGGAAAGAGGAGCCATCATTTTGGAGAACCAAGATAATGCCACAAAGGGCAATATATGGGGCCAGCAGATGGCATAGTGGTTACGTTGCTAGACTCCCACATGAGTGACCACGGTTCAAATCCTGGACCCAGTGGCTTGAAAATCAGGCAGAGCACGTGTGCATGTGTGCCCAAGATCCTGAGAGGAGAATGGAGAAGGGAGTATGGTCTTAAAAACGGGCCATTCTGGGAACCAGCAGTTAGCGTAATGGCTATGTTGCTGGACTCCCACGTAGTCGACCATGGTTCGCATCCCAGATCCAGTGGCTTGGAACTCATGCCAGGCGTGTGTGCATGCGTGCCCAGGATCCTGAGAGAATGGAGGAGAAGGGATTGCGGCGTAGCCATTCCCCCTGGGGGGTGATTTCTCACCTTTCTGTCTCTACGTCTCTCTCTGTCTGGCGAGCGCACGTGCCCTATAGCGAAAACCTCTCCCCCACCCCCACCCCCAAAAAACAACTCGACAGTCCCCCTGGGGGTGATTTCTCACTTTCCCTCTCTCTGTCTCTCTTTTTCTCCAACAAGCACATGTGCCCAAGGCAAAAACCTCTTTTAAAAAAATAATAGTAATTGGGAACCAGCAGTTAGCGTAATGGCTATGTCGCTGGACTCCCACGTAGTCGACCGCGGTTCGTGTCCCGGACCCGGTGGCTTAAAACTCACGCCGGACGCATGTGCGTGCGTGCCCAAGATCCCGAGAGGAGAATGGAGGAGAAGGGATTGCGACGTTACCATCCCCCCTGGGGGGGTGATTTCTCGCTTTCTGTCTCTATGTCTCTCTCTGTCTGTCTGGCGAGCGCACGCGCCCTACAGTGAAAATCTCTCAAAAAAAAAATAATAATAGTAATAAAGGTAATATCCTCTCTGATTCCGTTTCCCACCTGGAGTTAAAGGACAGGGGATGGGAGCATCATCTGAGACCAAGATCTGGGTGGTCACCTTCTAGCTCCTGGGCTCTCCAGGCAATGACAGAGATCAGACACTGCCTCTCCATCCGTGTCCATGAGTCTAAGCAGCACTGACACTGGCTTGGGATAAGAGCAGCTCCACAGCCAGGAGCTTCTGTGAAGCCCAGGGTCAGTACAAGATGTCGACAAGGCAATTTTGTGCAGGGCTCTGGAGTGAGCATGACAGTCCTCTTGCTGACATGACTGACACCCTTTGGAGTGCCCTGGATGCTTCTCTCCCCACCTAGGGTTCTCCATCAGCCATCCTGGACTCCGGAGGAAGATGAACAACTTCATCTCTAGTCACCTGGCCAAGAAAGGGCAGCACTCTGTGCCCAGGATGTGGGCTTCTATGAGCTGGCAGGGGCATGGGACCATCGGAGAGTCCGTGTGTCGTGTTCCCATTGCCTGGGGGAGCTGGGATGTCACAAGGAGCCGGATGTAGTAGCCGCCAAACACTGCCACCAACTGCCGGGCCATTTCCTGGAAAAAGCAGGGAACGAAGTGAGGTCCACAGGGCAGCACCTTGAAGGAGTGAAGCTCAGGACATGAGGAGAAAGCCAAGCCATGCTCCTGCCCCAGGACCCAGCAGCAATGCTCATTGGGAAGAACCAGCCAGTACCCATAGCTCTCAGAAGACACTGGCCTAGTCTAGAATCTCAGCTCTGCAATTCACTGGCGGTGGGACTCCTGCAGCCTCAGTGTCCTCATCCCCAAAGTCGATAGCCTCCACGGCAGGCAACAATAATATGCACAAAAAGACATGCAAACTCAGCGCACCAGAGAAACTACCAATGATTTGTTCCGAGTAAATACACACACACACACACACACACACAAACACACACACACACACACACATTCCACTTATAAATCTCTATGGATCTATAAAGTACATGGGTTCCGGGTGACTCACTTGGAGAAAATCACTAGTTAAATGTGGAGGGGGGGACCAGCAATTAGCATAATGGCTATGTCGCTGGACTCCCACATAGTCGACCACAGTTCGTGTCCT